AATAAAGCTGTGGAAACATCCACCAAATCTAGCAACGCAGCCAGGCCCACATGAAATTTAAGTACACAGTTTACTTTTCTCCTTCCTCACTACCCTAAAGTACCAGGGTAAAAAATGTGCTACCTCCCAAAATGGATTTCTTCAAGTACGGCTAGAAAGATTGCATTCAAATGGTGGAAAACAAAGACAAAACCAGTTTTACGTAAGACTTGCCTGTTGTAAAAAAAAAAAATAAATAAATCATTTTTGGCTCAGGAAAGACATTTTAATTACACAGGAAAAATTATATAAAGTTGTTACTAAGCAATAATTGGAGAGACAGGTTTTTGGATTCAAATTTGCGTGACTTTGGGATTTTGTCTGGATACATGTTTAGTGTTTCTGTGTGTCAAAACTGGCAAGTCATGCTGAATGCAACATTTATCTCCCCTCTGTGCTGCAATGCAGCATCGATCTGAAATTTTGCAGGAGGGTGACACCAAGCTAGCAAGGAATGCTGTTCATGGACTGGCCTTCCCAAATGGCACTGTCCTTGGGGCAAAGACAAAATTGAATTCTGAGCTATCATAGGAAACAGGTCAATCATGTTCCCGTGGTAAAGAAGTAAACCATGGATGAAGACTGACCACAACCTGGAAACACTGGAAGAGGGAAAGTTATATGAGTTCCTGGGGTCCATTCAGGGTGGCAGGACCACAAAAGCTGATGTCTATGGGGGTGGACAGGCAAAGGTGGAGCCTTCAGCATGGAAGACTCTCAATTTGACAACTTCTGAGCATCCAGCTGGCATATGGGAGTGAAGTGACAAGCTAGCTGACTCTGAGTTAAACCTAGACTTGGTTTTCCAGACCTTGTTGTGGACCACTGGTCTAAGTGATAAAGGTGAGTGGGTCTAACCAGCAGCCTTGGTGCTATGCTCCAGCTCTGCACAGGCTCTCACACAACCTCCATTGCACAGTGCCACCCATAGGACCCCCCTAAAGATGTCCTCAGGAGCTGAGCTCCACGGATGAGGGCTTCCGCATTTTTCTGTTTCAAAGGCTGAGCTCAGCAGTGGGGAAGGGGTTATCATCAAATCAGACTGCAACATCAGGCTAAGTCAACACAGACATACCCATCCTCTGTCACACAAGGAAAGGGGAGAGGAGTCTGTGTCTCTTTTTCCTAAGCGTAGTGTGCAAGGAAGAACAATGGGATGAGGAAGAGGCAGACTGACCCTATCAGATAGGGCTGGGACTGGCCAGACTGCCATGAATCAAGAGCCTGTAGGAAGATCACAGACATCAGTTTCTTTTTGTGCCTCATTTTGTATCTGCTTGAAGAGCCTTTGTTGCTCAACCACTTGAACATCCATTTATTTATTTTTTTTTCCCCCTCAGCTGTCAAACCACATTGATTTTCAGTCGTTTTAACCTGGGCAGGATCAGCAAACCTACTCCCCCAGGTGAAAAGGCAGGACTGAGAGAGAACAACTCGAGTTGGCTGAATTATCCAATTCTTCTCAGACACAAAGAATTTGTTTGCTTTGCTTATGAGAGCCGAGGGAGGGATGGCACAGAAGGCTAAATCCTCAACATCCCCCTGGTACATACTTTACACTTTGCTATCGATGCAGGCAGAAATATTTCCAGGGCTTGCAATGTGGTTGGCAATGCCTTTTCAGAAAAGGACCTCTACAGAGCAAGCTTGTGTCTGAATTACATCTCAGCCCTAGGGAAGATGGTTTCTTCAGTTCTCCTTCAAGGTCAGTTCTGGGGTAACATATGTTATTCGTCTCTCAGTCTTGCTAACAGAAAATCTGACTGAGTGACATGTGGAAACTGGGAAATGAAAATAAACAAAATGAATAAACACATTTAAAAGTCTTGGGGGGAGACAGAATCCCGACCTGCACATAACATCCCTACCAACGGGACAATGCTAAACGAAATTTGGGATTTGTGTCTTGATGGGTACAGTAAATTTGAACTCTGCGTGACTCCACTGCATCTGCTAAGCGAATAGAGACACTCTTATTAGAGATGTATGGCAGAGTCAGTGTAGGATCTGGAAACCAGCAAGCTCATTGCATTTGTGAATAAGATGTTTGCAGTTTTCTGTTCTTTGGCTCAGATATTTCTTTTATTAATTAGAATGGAGCATGGTCTTGCAGAAATCAATATGTTTAAGTGGTATTTTAGCCCTGCTTTAACATGCTGTTACAGGATGAACTTCTACAGCCTCTGTGCTCCTAGCTCTGCCTGTCACACTCCAGCCACACATTTCCAACTCTCCTTGCCCAAAGCTGGCCAGGCACAGCCATGAAGCCCACCCTGAACCTCTGAGAAGGGGAGACATAGCCCTGACAGCCCAATAGGAGCCCTTTCACCTGCTTGATGAGTCCTCTCTAGGACAGCGTGGGCCTGAGTTTCAGTGCAGTCTCAGTTATTCCTACCAGGGATCTGCACTTAGTCAGCACAGCCAAGGGACACGTCAGCAAAGCCCAGACGGTTGGTATCCTATACCTTAAAAGATGGTGCTTGTGCCGTGTGCTAATATCAGGGAGGTTGTAGCCAAAACAAATCCTAGACATTCAGGACTGCTCTTTCCTCATGTAGCAGCTGAATTCAGACCCCACGGTAGCATTATAGCCCTACTGCAGCAGCTCTCATCTGTACAGTCATGTTTGCCATTCCAGCCATGGTAAAGAGTTCCCCCACTGGCTCACCAGTGCTTCAGCACACCCACTTCTTTCCTAAGATTTGGCTAAAGATCAGAGCAGCTTGGTTATAATGGCATTTGGCAGTACAAGTCTACCAAGCAACCTGGCCTGAATAGCTGAAAGGAGAGCAGTGAAGCAAAGTATGAGAGATGATTAAAAGAGACTTGAGACTCCAGAAGGAAATTTCTGGGCATCCCTTGCAACCACCATATCCTTGGATTTCTATTTTTGCCTTGTTCCTCTATTCTTCTGTGTAACACTTTTGTTTTCAGTCTTCTTCCTTTTGTTTTTTCCCCTACAATTAACAAGGGAGAGGGGTGAATTGTGAAGTCAGGTTACGAGCATCTGCCTGAGCCTGTGTGTGTGTGCATGCAGGCACATGGGCATGAGGGAGCAACCAGCAGCATTGCCAATGAGAAGAGCTGGAGCCAGGCTAGTGAAAAGAAGTAAATCTGGGGATAGTGAGTTATAGGGAAGTGTGTGAGAAAAGTAAGAAAAAATATCACTACAGTTTCTGTTAGTTAGCTGGCATAGCTGCTCTGCTAGTGAAAACCTAGAGGCTTTCAGTGCAGTGTATTTTGTGAGGTATTACAGCTAAATTCAATTATAAAATATCATACAAAAAGGCATTTTAGCATTTTCTATGGGAGTACTGATGCTGGAATTTAAGTGCTTTTGAGCTGGAAGCAACACCTAAAGCCTTTGCTTAGGTTATTCATGTAACAGCATGAGACAGGCTTGGGCTTCCAGGAGGTGGAGGACACTAGCATCAAATCTAGGACAAGGAACTCCTCTTCAGGAACTCCCATGGATCAGTCATTGATACAGGCTTCCTGATGGACAAGACTTTCTTTGCAAAGATCCTATGGTTACAGATGTGCTCCCTGAAAAGCAGGTTTTGCAGTGCATCTTGCATCATAGTGGCCAGGTCCTGGACATACATCAAAGCCTTAACCTCATGAGTTGCAGCAGACATCAAGATGTGTTGCCTGCTCTGATCTGCGCAGCGCCGGCTCTGCCTTCACAGGGCAGGGTACCACACCTCACACCACCCTGGTGATGTTAGCAGCATCACAGGGAATAGCCCTTACTCTGAGTAACAGCCTGCCCAGTGATCAGTCCAAGGTGGAGAGCAAACCAGGCAGGTTTTCTGCTGAATTATTTCTGTTCCTTGTAGGACTGGTCTACTGCAGCATATTCACATGGAATTCATTAGCACATCCCTGCTGTTAATCCTCACTGGGTTTAACACAACGCTATACATTGATTTTTCCTGGACTTTAGGACAGCTGTGTCAAGTCAGAAGCATGTGCTTTGGGACAGGCTGAATCCAGGAGCCTGGCCTTTGAGAGATTAGAGAAATCAGGGTTCTGAATGTTCACTTGGGGTTTCAGGTGGAGTGAATTTGTATTATGATTCAAGAGAAAAATTCTGCCTTGAGACCTTCCACCCTTGCCACCTCCTAATTTAAATACCAGAATCCACCACTATTATCCCTAGGAGACTGTCAGACACATCCAATGCTCTGACCCAAACCGTGAAACACCAGGCAGCAAGTTCCAAATTTAAAGACACAACCATGTACCAAAGAGATGTCTTGAGAGATCATTGAACAGAACATGCACTCCAGCATCCCGCAAACTCCCAAGAACCATAAGGTGGTTCACCAAGCTTGATGCTGCCACTGTTTGCAGCTAAAGGAGAAAAAGATTCTCTTCTTTCTCTGCCAGCTGTGAAACTGAGCCCCATCCAAGGGTGCTTGGCTCCAAAGCAGCCACCTAATGATTCCCAGGCTTAGTTGAACATCTCTATCCCTCTAAATACCATTAGATTTGGGATAGATCCAGTGGCTTTTCTGGACTCCCACCACATATAAACACGAGACACTCCCTGAAGGTAAAGGTGGGGGCCATCTCCTGTACACTCAGAGCAGTCCAAACCATCAGAGCGATCACAAGCATGTGAACATCACTGCTTTAAAATGCTGGCATTGCAGCACCGGTCACGTGGTTCAACCGCACAAGCGCTGCCAAAACACTTTATGATATCATGTCGGGAGCCACCCCACGTAAGCCTGTCCTCACCCTGCACCAGGGGTGCGTATCAAATGCATATCAAAGCTCTGCTGCCGTGGAAAAATGGATGGGGGCAATGGGGCTGCAGTCCTGCTGGGAAAGGATAACCTTAGAGTAGTGATATGGGAGAGAGTGAGATGGTGAAAGAGACAGCAGTTGGACCTGGTAGAGGTCTAGGGGAAAAAAAGGAAGGACATGAGCAATAGGAAGCAGTCTTACCTCACCTTTCAGAGCTTGATCAGACTTGCACTGAGAGCAATGCAATTTATTTCTCCATCTCCTTAGATGTTAAGTATCCAGTTGCATCCAACACTGAGTGACAGCCAAGAGCAGATGTAAAACTGCAAATGTACAAGTGTGGATACGTGGAGCTATTAAACTTTCTGGAAAACTTTATTAATATTACAGTCTAGAACCTCAACTGTGTGCTAGTAATTCCCAGGTAGGAATTTCATGCTATACCTTGAGATAACGAGTCTATGTGCCCTGTATAATCAGGTGCTGTCATTGACAATGGTGGAGAATTTGTCCACTTTTTATTGTCTGTATTATATCATTTATTACCTGAATCACTGGCTTGGCCATTAAATTTTCACTAGAGCTTATTTTGTAATAAATCATGTGTGTAATGTCACACTTCCCAATTTGCAAATTTTCCCTATCATCTGCCTCTCCTTTTTTGTGAATATATTCATTACTCAGAATGATGAGTTGTGTAATGTCAGGCATAATTATTTGACCCACCTATCTTATAGGATATTTGGACTAAAGCCAATTTTGATGTCAAATTAGGGTACAGTTTATATTTCTGCTCCATAATTGTATTTTCAAAATCTCATTCTTAAAGTAGGTCATCTAAGTCTGTCTTTAAGTATAAATTAAAAACTATTTGTTCATCAAAAGTGTTATCAATCTGCTTTTCTGCCATTTTCAGGAAAGACAAAGCATTAAGGAAACAGATTTCTAAGAATTACATTTTAAAATTTCCACGGATTTCAGCGTCTCTTCAAATAACAGATGATTATTGTTATTGCTACCATGCAAGGTTTTGGTAATCTCATAATATCCATGTCAAGTTATTTCTCATTGGCAGAATTTGCATCTTCAATCTGGACTAAAAATGGTCATGTTAATAATCACGCGCCCAGGCTGCTGGATTCTGGTGCCTCTTCCCTTTGCAGCCCATCTTGGCACTCTGTCCATGTGCTGGTAGATAATCCAGGTTTTAAAAGCTGACTCCCTCTTTATCATTATGTGACGCTGGCCTGCAAAGTTCAAGGTAAGGCCATTGTGTCTTGAGTCTATTTTTATTGTACACAACACTAGCTGGAACTTAATTATTTTTTCCATCTGCCAACCATTTTGACTAATTGAACCCTTTGGAGCCAGGAGTCAGGGTTTCCCAATGTAAACCAGACCCTGGAACTCAGCATTAGCAGAAATATTGAAAAGTCATGAAGGAATTTTTGGTTCTGAGGTTTGGTTCTGTTTTCCAGATTCTGACCAGGATTCAGAGGAAACCCAAACCCTCTCCTACATATACATTTTTGGGGGTTCCTTTAGCATCTCAAATTTTCCAGACACTAAAATTTCCCATTACCAAAAGAAAAAAAAAAACAAATCCAAAAAATTAAAAAATTGAAGGATATAACTTAAAGCCACAGAAGTATGGAAATTCCCAGCAAAGGCTCAGACTTCCATTATTTTGGCAAAAGCAAAGCATGCTTGGGCAGCTTTAAAAATGATGCATAACTTAATACTAAAAGGTTTCCTGATAAGTGCTCTGTACTGAAGATCTGATTGTTGATAATTCTGTAGTATATTATGTTATTTCCACCAGTATTTCTGAAGCAGGTAACAGGTCGAGCCAATAAATTCAGTTTTTAACTGAGACCTATAAATAAGTTTTTAACTGCAATAGTATTTCTTCTCTGATTTTTGCTCAGAATTTGAAACTCTTTGGATTAGTGACTCTTTAAGCAGTGGGAGATCACCAAGGACTGAAAAGTAAGAGATATTATTTTCCCATGGTGACTTGTGATACACTTCTGATAAGATTGGGTAGGGAAATCTAAATGGATGGCTTGTGGCTCTAGTTTCAGCTTTCAGTACAATATATTGGCCTTGATTTAGTTCTTTTTAGAACTCAGAATAATTAAGGTGGCATTTCCATGCTGATGACTACTGCTTCATTCATCTCAGCCTCCTCCACTATTGATGTTTCTTTCCCCAGTAGTTCCTCAACTTGCCACCAGCATTAATGATATGCCACTAGAGATGCTTCATCCTTTGTTTTTCATGTCTTTTGCAGGCTGGCCATTTGGAAACAGAAGTTTCAATGGCTTCTGCCACCACCAAGCTTGTTCCCTTTGACAGAAAACTCATTTCACAGCATAGTTCTGATACTTCAGAAATGCTTCATAGAAATCAGGGATCTGTTGGAAATTCTACACTAGAGGCAAATAAAATTTTTTAATAGATCTGGGTCTTAGTTCCGCTAATTTCAATAGTTCATTTCGCTGTTCTGGCAGTCAGGATCCATTAGTGGAACAGAAGGAGAAGCATGTATAATGCATGTACAGCAACTGCATTCTAATCTGAAATTTCTTTTTTTCTTTTAAGTTCTTATTTTTTTAAATAAATATATAATGAGTTACTGACAGTACTTAACAATATCTTACACTAGACACTGTAATACCCCAAATAAATACTTAATTTCTGCTTTCCTGCAACTTCACTAGGATTACATCATGTCAGATTACTCTAAGTCTGCTTTAACCCAGTTTGAAAACACTAGTTATTCAAAGGTCTTTACAATTCTTAATTTCGTTCCTTGAAATACCTTTTCTTTTGCTTCCTTTATACAGTTTTTCAAGCTTGTGAAGGCCAGAGAGTTCTTGAAGTCAGAACAAGCCTGCAAGGAAGGAAATTGGGAAAGCATAAATGCTGTTTGCTGACGACAGAGCTCACTCCCTTCCTTTCCCATTGGCAAGAAACATCTCATCCTGCTAGTAAGAATATAGCTAATTTCTAAACCTAATTCAACCTTTGGACTGTTTTATATGGTAGCAAACTACAGTAGAATATTTTTTGATGTATAGAAGTACCCACAGAGAATGACATGGTCAACATGAATTCATTTCACACAGGGTCCTTACCACCCATGAGATAGCATGTGGTTTTGATCTATTGACCTGCTTGTAGATCAGAACCACTGAGTAAGAAGGTGGTACCTTTAACCACCCAGTGCAGTCATTAACATGCACTCCCTACCACGAATTAAATTAGTTTAGATTCTACTGACGATGCAAATAAACTCATGAAGCATAGCTTTATAAGGCTGCAAACTAACCCATTTGAAAATACTTTTGTCGCTTTTGTTTATCATTCCATATGATAAACAACTACCTACCCAAATTATCAGGAAAAGAAATTTTAACCATTCAGCAAATACAAAAAAAAATTGTTTTAATGATAAATAAAAAGTCACAAAGCTCAGCATGTTTTGCTGAAAACCATTAATGAGGGAAGTTGGTGAGGCCTGCAAATTTACCTTCTCTTCTGTTAACACACTTTCCCATCTGCAATCCATATACTTGAACACACATAGATTCCTTATATAAAAAATTAGGAAAAAAGAAAACCCTCATTGTCTTTTGAATGCTGCCTAATCTTGTGTTAAAGTCTTCTGAAAGGTTGAAGCAACTGAGCTCCTAATGGAACATTTCTTTGAAAATCTGGACCATTATGATGACATTAATTATTGTCGCCTTTGACTTTCCTTCCTTCGTAAATATCAGCTTAAAACCCAACTGTTAAAATAGCCTTCCTGTGGTAGGAAGCACCTTATCTTGTACTTTCGTGTCCCTGTAACATCTGCATATGGTACTCTGAACTTTGCTGTTACTCTCAATTAAAAATAAAACAACAAAAAAACACAACCTTGATAATACTGTGTTGTAAAAGGATCTAAACAATATCCTGCTTATTGCAGAAAACCAACACTGTGTGTTCTTTTACTGTAGCAAATAGGATGCAGAATCTTGGACACAGTAGAGCCCACAAAGTGCCCTTCCCTTACCTCTGAATTCCTATCCCCATCCCTGTGTTCCACAGGCTTCCCAAAGCTTGCAGCACTTTTTGCCTGCTAAGTTATCTGAATGGGAGATAATACTATCTGCTCAATTTCCAAAAATTCCTGGCCATTGTGTGATGTCTATTTGGAAAGGTGCATTCAGGAATACTCTCTCATCCTTTCTCACTCATATTTTGACTTAGTTTCAAGGGTCTTTAGTGTATTCTATGCAAAAGCCTTAAAATTAACTATTTAATTTTTTAAATTATTTAAAATTGTTTGCCTTTGTCAGTGAGTTTTTAGATTATTTGGGAATTGCGTCCTCTTGGCTATGTGCTTCAGGTCTTTATAGCAGACCTGTACAAATTGTTTTGAATTGAGCTGTCAGAGTTAGCTGAATAACAGGCTTATATGACCCTGTCTTAACACCAAACTCCAGACCATTCAGATAATGGGGCTTATGTAAGCTAGCATCCAAAATGCAGCTACTCTAAAAATAAAAGCATGAGAAAGAACCAGTGATTCTTTGGTGCCTGAATGTAACCAAAATTACATCATTCGTGTACACAGAGTCAATTTTGACTGAACCAGCAGTGTATATACCAACCATAGGCTCCTTCTCATTTCTCCTACATCAATCCAAGGAGATGTTAGCCACATTAGACTCCTTACTACCTGCAGGTAGGACACTCTAAATCCCAAACTGCCAGACTATATAAAAAGAGGACCAGACTGATACTAGGACAAACAAAACAAGATACCACTATAAAGTCTCTAGAAACAAGACAACAAGCACGGATAAACCAGTTTTGCTCACATCCTTACATTTAAAAGTAGCTAATCGGTTGTTCATAGTATTTTATGCAGGCAAAAATGCAGTAGAGAGCATGAGCACAGGCAGAGTAGGTACATCAGATTTAGGAACAGCAGAGCAAGTCACAGGATCTCCACCGGCCTCAGACATGCAGCAGTGGGTGTTTTCCCAGAGAAGTATCTGCTGGAGAAGAGTCTAAGGAGTTAGATGGTGGGATGAACGTTTCTCATCTGAAAATGGGTGTTGGCTCCTGTCAAAATCTGTCTCAATCTCTCCCCAGGAAAGCTATTGCCAATACTTCTATGCAACTTGGCATGATTATCTGTCTCTTTTCCAGGGAAAACTGCTACCCTGTCTCCACCCTTGTATGTGATAGTGGAGGCTTAGCAACCGCATGTAGACCTCAGTGACAGACGTGAGGTGAAGAGCTCAGTATCTAGATAGGGAAAATATAAAGGTCTTTTGCCAAGACACAGCAAACTTAGGGCATTAAGTGCCATAAATGCCACTATTAAAAAAAAAAAAAAGGAAGCAGAAAGCATCTCATTTAGATCTTTAGCTTTTAAATCCTTGCAAATGAAGAATGGTCCATTCTATAGAAACTTAAACTTCTGAAAACTTGTGAGGTCAATCACTGCTTGAAATCTGGTTCAGATGTCCACTCTTCCTTGGGGAAATGATCAGACCCTAGAGAAGAGCAATCAGGAGAGCCATTCAGAAGGGATTATCAGGAACAGAGTAATTTCTGTCTGAATTTCAGACTTCTTGACACTGACTTCAGAAAAATCCTGGCAAGTGTTTTTACAATTACTATATTCACTAGAATCTTCAAAAGGATTTTTTTCAAATTCGTCAATTCTTTGCGAATAGATGACATTTAGCTGCATATCACTTAAGTTCATAATCCTCTTAAAAACATGTGGTCTTGATTTGGCACCATTACTTTCCATTTGATGCTACTCTGTGACTCTGTATCAGATAATTGCATAATTTATTTGCCTTGCATATCGAACTGAGGTCTGAACACTGCTCTCCCAGCCCAATTACTGCAGATTAATGAACACTGAGCCAGAATACCCTGCTAGAAAACCAAAATCAAGGAGAACAAGAATCAGTGGGCACTGTTATATATTTTTTCAAGAACATAAAAGGGTCAGTCCAGAGCTGAAATTTGATTTGCTTATAAAAGTGTCCCATTTGTAACTCCCCCTTTAGAAAGAGTTTCATCCAGCTACTGAGTGGTACTTTCATCACTTACTATATCTTTCATTTTACACCCACAATTAATGTTACTCACAAATGAAAACCCTCGGTTGCTTGTCTGCATCATTTGTCCACTTGTTTTGACAGCTGATGCAACTATTTTGGAGTGTAAAAGAGCGTCTGCACATTTGGAGGCTACTTTAGCTGTCTAATTAGGTTTCTAACTCTCTCTGGTGCAGAAATCATATACCACCATGCTCCAACCTTGAAATCTTTTATAATGCATGATGATCTGGTTTCTGACCACCTAAATAAGTGAGACATAAGCAGCTTTATGTCCTGCTCAAAAAGAATATTCAAAATAAGTTTTATGAAATTAAAAGGAAACTGGAGGGTAAGCTCATAGACACATTAAATGCATACTTGCCTCAATATCAAACATAGTGCAGATACCAAAAAGTGTCAACATTTCAGAGCTAACCATGTAAAGACTTCTTTTCAAAATATCGAAGAGAAATGCTTCTCGCAGGTGGAATGAAGGGGATTCCTCAGATAATTCTATAGGCACTCCTATTTCCATCTGGAAAAATTCATCTTGACTCCTTCCTCCAGGAGGAGCAGGATACGTTGAGGTCCAAGATATGTTAAAAATATGTTAAAAATATATCTCAATATATGCATGTGTTCACCTTGCAAACCACTTAAACACATGCTTTAAGCTACAGATGAGCCTCTGCACTATCCTGAATGAGGAGTGGTTTAGGCACGTATTTACACCCTTTTGGAATGGGGGCAAGAGGAAATTCAGTAGGGCTTGGTACCACTTATACTCCGCTTGCATAAACTGGAATTAGGCAGCACAGCATTCTGGAAAGCCTCCCTGCTCAAAGGAGCAAGCATATTTCTGGACAGGCTTTCACGATGGCTTGTGCTCAGTCCACGCAAACAGGAAACCGGGTTTGCTTTGTCACAAGGAAAAATTCTCCTCTACCAGTCATTTATTTCATCACAAATCAAAATTTCTTTTATGCAAAAGCTGAAATAGTTTAGTGGTATCAGTTGTCATGTCTTGACTTTAAAATCAGGAAACTTCTTTCCACTAGATTGTCATTGTCAGGAGGTAGATTGTTAAGTGATGGTTAGCCAGAAAGTAGATTCGTCCCACAGAAAATCATCTTAGGGGAGATGCAGGAAAGGAAAGTAAACATACTATAGTAATACAATCTAGGATAATTTCTGCCTTTACTCTGGGAAGGTTTCCCACAATACTTTATCCCAAAGGCTTACTTTTCTTTATAGTATACATCTACAGTAGAAATTCAAAGAAGTAAAACCTTGTAGTAGATTTGGAGGCTTTTAAAATGCCAATCATGAGCATAAAAATCAAGAGCATCTTGATTTTTTAATAAAACCAGTGTTTTCTGTAAAATTATGATTGGTTACATTTTGATTTTCTAGGTTTGTTGTAAATGGAAGTGAATCAGGCAACATTCGCCATCATAATTGCTTTCTGCCTGAAGAGGTCTTTTTCAGGCTGAGCTGGCTGCTGCTGTTTTAATCAGAAGGTTGTCTATTTGTATGTTAATAGTTTCATCCTGGTTTATTAAGCTTGTTGATGAAAAAGCAAAAATCAGATGCTTTACTATTTTCAAGCTTCACTTATTAATCTGTGATTTTTTTTGGTGCCAACACAGAACCATTTCAGCATCCTCTGCCTTAAATCCTCTTAATGAAAGCATGAAGAATGACAATATACTTCCTTTCATAAAGCAGAAAGCTGTGCCAATTCACTTTCAACATGCTCATTCAGTGGAACTGAGGTAAATATG